TTTTTCCTTTGAGATACAAATTTTGAATTTGATTCACTTAAAACAAAATTAATCTCACCTTAGATTGTTGTTTCTTTCAAAACAAATTGCGTCTCGTTTGAGACATTTTCCCTTTGAGATCCAAATTTCGAATTTGTTTCACATTAAACAAAGTTGATCTCACTTGAGATCGTTTTCTCAAAAACAAACTTTGTCTCGCTTGAGACAATTTCTCTAAAAACAAATTTTGTCTCATTTGAGACTGTATCTTAAAGCAAATTTCGTCTCGCTTGAGACATCATTTTCTCTCATAATACAAATTTCAAGGTTGTTGTACTTAAAGCAAAATTAATATCACTTGAGATTTTCAAAGCTGATTTGTCTCGCACGAGACAGTTTTCCCTTTTAACAAATCATGAAATTGTTTCATTGGAAACAAAATAAACACTTTTGAAAACACCCTTGAGATTATTTCCATATAAACAAAATCGACAATATTTGGATCTTTTAAAACGATTTTTGTCTCTTGAGACAGTTTCTCTTGAAAAAAATCTTTGAGTTTGTTCCTTTTGAATAAAAATCTTGGAGTTTGTTCCTTTTGAATAAATATCTTTGAGTTGTTTCTTTTGAAAAAATCTTTGAGTCTATTTATTTTAAAACAAAGTTTTGTCTCTCTTGAGACAGTTTCTCTTGAAAAAAATCTTTGAGTTTGTTCCTTTTGAATAAAATCTTGGAGTTTGTTCCTTTTGAATAAATATCTTTGAGTCGTTTCTTTTGAAAAATCTTTGAGTTTGTTTCTTTGGAAACAAAATTTTTTTCTCTCTTAAGATAGTTTCTTTTGAAACAAAAATCTTTGAGTTTGTTTCTTTTGAAACAAAATTTTGTCTCTCTTAAGATAATTTTACAAAATCTTTGAATCTGTTTCTCTTAAAATGAATTTTTGTATCTCTTGAGACCGTTTCTTTTGAAGTAAATCTTTGAATATGTTCATTTTGAAAATCTTTGAGTTTGTTTCTCTTAACAAAATCATCTTTGAGTCTATTTCTTTAAAAACAAATGTTGTCTCTGAGATAGTTTCTAATTAAAAACTAACTTTGAGATTGTTTCATTTGAAACAAATTTGGTCTCACTTAAGATGAGATCCATCATTTGAGTCTGTTTCTTCTGAAACAAAATTTTATCTCTTAAAGACAATTTCTTTTGGAAAAAATCTTTGAGTCTATTTTACTTTGAAACAAAGTTTTGTCTCTCTTGAGACAATTTTGTGAAAAAATCTTTGGGTTGTTTCCTTTGAAACGAATTTTGTCTCTTTCGAGACAGTTGCTTTGGAAAAACTTATCTTTGAGTTTATTTCACTTGAAACAAAGCAAATATCTTTGAGATCGTTTCTCTTGAAACGAATTTTGTCTCCCTTGAGACAATTTTTATCAAAATCCAATCTTTGAGTTTGTTTCTACTGAAACACATCGTTGAGTTGGTCTCCCTTGAAACCATTATCCCTAGAGATAACCAGCCGTCCTCATCACGTAGGAACCATGTTATCACCTTTAGATGGCCAGAACTCTTCATCACGTATGAGCCGTGTCAACCATAGATAACCAGCCGTCCTCATCACGTAGGAACCGTGTTATCACCTTTAGATGGCCAGAACTCTTCATCACGTATGAGCCGTGTCATCCCCAGACCAGATCTCCACATCACGTAGGAGCCGTGTCAACCATAGATAACCAGCCGTCCTCATCACGTAGGAACCGTGTTATCACCTTTAGATAGCCAAGAACTCTTCATCACGTATGAGCAGTGTCGTCCCCAACAACCAATATTATCCAATTTCTATGTATAAATGGAAGAGAACTAGACAAAAACGTGTTGTCTTATCATCTTTGCCCTATTCTTGTTAACACAAGAATGTGCAAAGAGGGGCAGCTGTAGACACCCGTTTTTGTCCGGGTTTTTTTTATCGTTATTTTTATTATTATTATTATTATTATTTACTATATTATTAATATTACATTTTACATATTTTGCAGGCCAAGCCCAATACAACAAGGCCCACCCGAAGCCCAATAGGCCCAATCCCGGAGCCCAACAATCAACCCATCATATTAGGGTTTCAAACCCTAAATCAGATTAGGGTTTCAAACCCTAAATCAGATTAGGGTTTCAAACCCTAAAACAGATTAGGGTTTCAAACCCTAAATGTTCCAGCCGCCTCATTTCTGGCCGTTGGATCTGGACCCATCCAACGGTCCAGATCACGCAGAGCTTAGGGTTTGAAACCCTAAAATATTCAGCTCAGCCGTTTGGCCTTCCAGCTCCAGCCGCCGCTTGACGTTCCAGCCTCTCAGCCGAGTGAGTGCCGCCGACGATCCCAAGCCACCGCCGTTGTCATCCAGCTTCAACAGTAACTGAACGTCATCCACAGTGCCCAAATCAGTCAAAAAAAAATAATCAAATCTAAAACCCATTAAAATATCATTCTAAATCCCGATTTTTTCGGGATTCAATCGTACCAAATCAGAGAAACAATCCCCATACCCCCCGTAGGCTTCATGATTTCATTCAAACCCCCTAATAAATCAAGCATGCAACCAGAAAAAGAGGGGATTCAAGGGTGATAACAAAAAAAAAAGAGGAGGCATTCGGTAAAAAAAAAAGAAAAAGGGGAGAAAAACCAGAGAGAGTAAACGAAAAAACCATAAAAAGGAGAAAGCATTCGGGTTTCCGAAAAAAAGAAAAAAGAGAAAAAGCCAAGAGTTATATAGCCAAGCCAAAGGAGAGAAGGAGAGAACCCTTACCTCGGTCGGAGGAAGCCATCGAGAACACCAAAGGTCGTCGGTGTCTTATTACTTCGAAAGGTAAACTTGTAGATCTGGGGCCTAGAGTGGGTTTTAGACTAAGATGGTGGGGATTTGGGTTGAGGAGAACGAGGGGGATTTTTTTGAGATAGGTTGCTCCCTCCGGCCACCGTGCGTCGCCGTGGACTCCGCCGGCGGCAGCGGTTGGCACCCTCTCCGATGAGAGAGTTGGGAGAGTTCTCTCCAACTCTCTCTCTGGTTTTTGGTTCAAGTGAAGCAAATGAAGGATGAGAGGAAATTAGCCCGTGTTTTGGGCTTTTAATTCCCCATCTGAAACGCAGTCGTTTTGCCCCAATATTATCTGATTTTTTGAGTTACGGGATAACTACTCTTTTGGTCCCTGATGCTTTGTAACCGTGTTATTTAGCCATGAATGAAACTTTGTGAATTTTTATTTCGGGCATCTACTTTTAGTTGTTTTTATTTAAGTCCTGATTTCTTATATGTTATCATTTTTTGTGTATATTCGAATTTGAACATTAAATTTATAAATATTTTATATTAGTCACTGTTTATTATTTGATTTAATTACTGTTCGGCCCTCTATGTTTCTGTTGATATTTTAATTTGGCCTTAATATTTTTGCATGTTACATTTTGGTCACTCTTACAGTTTATATATTTTGTATTTTGTATACCATGTTCATATAGTTGTATTTGGTCACTAGATCTTCTGTTGCTAATATTTTTATAAATTTGTACATTGTATTCTGCAGTTATATATATATCTTATTTTAGTCCCATTATTAAAGGTAATATTATTATGGTCATACTTGACTTTGGTCCCAATGTTTGTAATAGTTTCATTTTAGTCACCAATCTTGTGTTTTGTGTATTTTCTTTGATGTTCAAATTTGGCTACCGAATTTATGAATTTTTGTTTTGGTCACTGTTGGTTATTTTGTGTTAAATATGGAATGTAGCATGTATGTTTACTTTTATGTCATTTTAATCCTTTATCATCATTTTTGGGTTATTTCCATTTCAATATTGTATTATTTAACATTTGCTACTTGGGTTCTGATTGTTTGTAATTATTGTTGTAGTCCCTAAGTTTCTATTTGTTTCAGTTTAGTCCTAAATTCATGATTATGCTATTTTATTCCTTTAACTTTCTGTTTTACTATTTTAGCCATGTAAGTTCATGTTTTGTCATTTTAGTCCCCGAAATTATCCTATGTGTTTATTTGATTTATATTTATATTTGGATTTGTAATTTCATCTTAGTTTTACTTTAGTCCTTTATGTATGAATATTTTATATAATGTAGTTATTGTGAACGTATATATTATTGGTTCTAGTTATCGTACATGTTTTATTTTATTTTTAATCGTGCTCATTTCCTTGGTTTTATTTATTTGTTAATATTATTAGAATACTTTCAAGAACATGTATGCGTAGAATGAGCGTGGAAAGTACCACTTGATCGAAGTGGTGTGATCTGGTACGGCATTTTAACGACATAGAAACTTGAAATAAGTCGAGTATGTTTTGCTAATAAATTTGTTCAAACGATGCAATGTGTGTTATTTTAAATGACAATTTACTTTATTTTATGTGAATGTAAATTTCAAATATTTTAATTTGTATTCAATTCACGTTTTTAGTTAATCAATTTATTCGTATGTAAACATTGTTTTTAATTATATTCGATTTGTATTTTTAACATAATCAATGATAGAATATTCTTTTACGAATGAGAAATAGTTCGAGTTAGTTGTCCCGATGGAGGATTGCTAATTTCAAGATTTCCTTTCGAGTTAAAGAATTTTCTCTGATTAAATAATTCGAAGCAAATTAATTAATGTTCGATAAATGGATCATAAATTAACTTTATATTCGATTTGTAATTTCCACCATTATGACAATGTGTAAGTGACACAGTACCAATTTTGGGCGCTGTGGGGTGCTAATCCTTCCCCACGCGTAACCGACTTCCGAATCCATTTAAATGAATCTTTGGTAACGCAGACCGAATCTTGTCTTAAAAAAATGATTTTTCTTAAAATTGTTTTAAAAGACGTTTTTAGGTATTCGACCTACCTAACCCAAAGGTTGATGGCGACTCTTTTTAATTTTATTCAAATCAATGCAAAATCATCCATTTTATTCAAAAGACGTTTTACGGGCATAGTTCTTGGGCGGAAAAAAGCACAATTGGGAGATGATTTCTCGTTTGGCTTCGACTTCTTCGCTCCCGTGGTGTATGGGAGGTGATTTCAATGAAATTATTCACTCTGATGAGAAAAGAGGGGGGAGGAAACCGGTTAGAAGTTATATGGAGGAGTTTTTTCAATGTCTTCGCGGAGCCGATCTGTGGGATATTCGACCTAAAGTCGGTTGGTTCTCTTGGGCAAGTGGTACCCGGGCTAAGACTTATGTTTGCAAGAGAATTGATAGATTTGTGGCGAAAAATGATTGGAGGCTTAAGTTTCAGGATTGTTCGATTGAAACGATTCCGATGGCAATGTCTGATCACTCAGCTATTTTGTTGAAGATGGTTGGGGAGGAAAGAATTTGCGATACTAGAAAGGATTATTTCAAATTTGACTTCTGCTGGGCTAATGAAGACCAATGTAGGGATATTGTGAAACGGATTTGGGAACAAGATGATTCTTTCACGGCAAAGGTGGGGAAAATTGGCATTTCTCTTGGAGATTAGCAAAGGTCGAGGAGGACTCAAGCTAAGAGGGAAGAGAGGCGGCTAAGGGATTACTTAACTCGACTTCAATCAGGTCCGATCACGGATGTGAATTGTGAGCTTCGTCGCAAGGCTTTGGTGGATCTTAAGGAGGTTATGGATAAAGATGAAAACTATTGGTTCCAGAGATCCCGTGTTGCTTGGCTTAAGGACGGGGATCGTAACTCATCGTTTTTCCATGCTAGGGCTAATGGGCGCCGTAAAAAGAATAGGATTGAGGGGCTGCTGAGTGAAGGGGGGTTGGAGTGATAAGTTGGAGGACATGTTCGGTGTTGCTATAAGATACTTTTCCTCTCTTTTTTGCTCGTCCGAAGCGGCTCCCGATGAGGAGATCCTTCAAGCCATTGATCGATGCGTTTCTCAGAGTGATAATGATTTGCTTTGCCGAGCGTTTTCTGCGGAGGAGGTCACCAGTGCATTTGCCCAAATTAATCCTTCGAAAGCTCCTGGGTTTGATGGCCTTTCAGGTCATTTCTTTCGCTCTTTTTGGAATATTGTGGGTTGTGATTTTGTTAATCTTTGTCTATGTCTTTTGAATGGTACGATGGATTTTAATTTTGTTAATCGTACCATTATTGTTCTTATTCCAAAGGTTGATAGCCCTACTTTAATGAAGCAATTTAGACCGATTAGCTTATGCTCGGTCATCTATAAGGTCGTGTCAAAAGCTATTGTTAATCGTCTTAAACCGTTGATGCATGGTTGTATTGCTGAAAATCAATGTGCGTTTGTCCCTGGTAGACGTATATCTGATAATTTTTTAGTTGCACATGAGCTTATCCACTATCTTAAAGGGTCTAAAAATGGTCCTAATAAGGGAGCTGCGATAAAACTTGATATGGAGAAAGCGTATGATAGAGTGGAATGGGGTTTTTTGTTGGATGTTATGTTGCGTATGGGTTTTGATTGTTCTTTTGTTAACCTTGTTCGGAAATGTATTTCAACGGTTTCATTTCAAGTTCGGATCAATGGGGTGTTGTCTGACTCTTTCATTCCTGAGAGGGGTCTCCGACAAGGAGATCCGTTATCTCCATATTTGTTTTTGTTTTGTGCTCAGGGACTCTCCGCATTACTTCTCAAGGCTCAAAGTAGGAATGAGATTAAAGGAATTAGAGCGAGCATAAGAGGGCCAAGGATTTCACATCTATTGTATGCCGACGATAACCCGTTGTTTGTGAAGAACTCGATGGAGGAGGTGTGCAAAGTAAAAAGCATTTTGAACCAATATGAGAAGGCCTCAGGACAAAAAGTGAATTTCGAGAAATCAAGTATTTACTTTAGTCCTAATACTCCTGATGCGGATAGGATGAGATTCTTTAATGAACTAGGAGTTGTTGAGGCCTCGGAACCGGGGAATTATCTTGGTTTACCGTTAGCTGTTGGAAAAGGCAAACGAGTAGCCTTTAATTTTATCAGAGATAAGACCGAGAAGAGGATTCAGGGATGGACCAAGCGACTTCTTTCTTTTGGAGGACGAGAAGTTTTCATTAAATCGGTAGTTCAAGCGCTTCCTGCTTACGCAATGTCATGTTATCTCATCCCGGACGGAGTTATTGAGGATATTAGATCACAAGCGAGATCTTACTGGTGGTCGGGGAAACAGAATGAAAGAGGATGGGCTCTGGTTGCTTGGGACAAGGTGTGACGTTCTAAAAAATTTGGTGGTATGGGATTTCGGGATCTTAAATTGTTTAATATTGCACTCCTTGGTAATCAGATTTGGAGGCTTATTCAGGATGAAAATTCTTTGGTGTTTAAGGTCTTTAAGGCTAAGTACTTCCCTTCAACTTCGTTCTTTGAGGCGAAACTTGCTGATAGACACTCCTATGCTTGGGCGAGTATTATGAAGGCTAAAGAGGCTCTTAGGGAAGGTTTTTTCTGGAGAGTGGGCATTGATAGCAAAGTCTCTATGTTTGCGGATAAGTGGGGGGATTCTAAGCCTTTGTCGTGGTCGGAAAGATATCTGGATAATGTGGAGGTTCCGGTGGGAGTGGGGGAGTTCATGATCCCAGGATGTGCGAGGTGGGATGAGAATAAGCTTAATAGAGTGCTTATTGCGGATGATGCGTCCAAGGTTCTTAACACGTTAATTGCCTCGGTTCACACTGATCTTATGTTGTGGTCTCATCACACTTCGGGAATGTACTCTGCAAAGTCGGGATACAATTGGTTAAAATTACAGAACTCCCCTTTGTTGATTGCGGAAGGGATTTGGAACGAGGTGGCCAGGGCGAAAGTTCTCCCAAAGATAAAAATTTTCGGTTGGAGATTGTGTCATGAAGCGATTCCTTCAGGGTTAAAAATTAAGCAAGCAAAATTAGGGGATGGCTTGTGTCCGCTTTGTAATAGAGAGGTTGAATCGGCGTTACACGTGCTTAAAGATTGTCCCAAATCAAAGACGGTACTCAATTTATCGGGGCTTCCTCAAGCGGTGGTTGAGTGGAGCGGTGATTCATGTATCAGATGGCTGTCCTTCGCCCGGTCGGTGTTGCTATCTGAAGGATTTGATCTGTTTCTTGCTTTGCTTTGGAATATCTGGAATAGGCGTAACAAATTGGTCCATGATGGGGATTTACAATCGGACAGAGAAATTATTGTTAATTCTTCTAATCTTATTGGGGATTATAAGATCACTATTAATCCAATTGGTGGTTCTTGTGAGGTGCTGCAGATTACTAGATCGCGCAATTGGAGTAAGCCGAATAGAGATGAGGTTAAAATTAATGTGGATGGGGCTTTTTGCAAATCTTCTCGCATAGCGGCTTTTGGAGTTGTTGCTAGAGATGCTCATGGGATGGTGTTAGGGGGTCTGGCAAGGAAGATTGTCCCACCGTTTACGACGGAATCTACCGAAGCACTTGTTTTCACTGAGGGTATTCGATTTGCTTCAGAGAATGGGTGGAACAATGCTATTATTGAAGGTGATGCCATCTCGATTGTTTACAGGTTGTCGAATCAGAGTCAGGATTTCTCTACAATTGGATTGTTGCTCAATGAGGCTAGGCGATTGTTAACTGATCTCCCTTCACTAAAGGTGTTTTATGTGAGTAGGGACGCTAATAGAGTTGCTCATACTTTGGCTCAATGGGCCTTATCGAACCACAATCCAGTTGATTTTTTTCTGGATGAACCTGAATGTATTAAACAACTTGTAATTGAGGATGCTATTGGAATATAAGCAATACTTTATTTCAAAAAAAAAAAGTTTGTCGAGGCGAATTGTGAACCTCTCCATGAGAGATCTGCTGCAGTACATATGAGACGGGTGGTTAGGATTATTCACAATTGCCATCATCCTAGGCATCAACAGTGGCAAGTCCGGTGGTCTTGGTTTCTTTGCGGCAGAAAGTGTAGCAATAGGTGGCCTTTCGTCGATGAACTTTAACCCCTTTTCGGCACCCGAAAATCCTCTGGTGAACCTAGCCCCATAATTTCCTTTTTGAAAACTTCAGGAACTGAGATTGATGTGCTGCCTTTTTTGAGAACTTCCCAAACGTTTCTCTTGACCTTAATTTATAAGTTTCTCCGTTGCATAGCCCTCAAACATGGTATAAAAATCTGTAGGTTGTTTCACCTCTGGGAATGCAAATTACAAACCATCCCGTAATGGTCGGTCCCGATTTAGGTATCATCCAGTGCAAATGACCGCGATTAATACTCGACTGGTCCACCGGTGGACCGAACCATCATATTCATCTCTTTTATCCCTCTCTGTTTTACACAAGATTCACTAAACAATAGGTCTAACGATCGAACAAGACTGAAAGGCTAAATAACACGAGGGCTTATGATTGTAATTTTATTAAATAATCTATTTAGTTTAGGGTATACAAATGGTCTCTTGTCATATTTCATTGTTTTGTTAAGTTTCTCACTTCTAAAAAGCATGAATAGTGAATTGACCGTAGGGTTTTGTAGGGTATTGTTTTGGTGAATTTTTTAATTATTGTTTTATTGAATTTTTAATTATTAAAAGTTATAAATTTGTAATTCAATTATTTATATATTTTAATTTCGTTTTTTAAAAAAAATTAATTACAATCTAAGTTGGATATTAAATTACAGATTGTAAAATAATAAAATCTAATTTTGAAATTTTAAAAGAGTATTATATATATTTGTTATAAAATAATAAAATCTAATTTTCAAAGTTTAAAAGATTATCGTATCTTAATTAATATATTAATATTATTTTTTAATAAAAAGAGGAGTATAAAATAGTGAGCGATTATTTTATAATTTTTAATAATTAAAAGATTCAACAAAATAATATTATATAATTTATTTTTTTATAATTTTTAATAATCAGGGATTCAACAAAATAATATTATATAATCGAGAGAGTAGTAATATACTTTATCCTTTAGCTTCATACAACAAAATTGATGTCTTTATTTGGAGTAATAATAGTTTTAGTACTCTATATTTATAGATTAATTGATTTAATTTAATTTTAAAATAATTTCATATTTTTTATAATTATAAATTTTAATTTAATTCTTAGAATGTTTCATAAATTTTGTCATTTTGGTAAAGAAACTATAATCGTTACAACTTACCTAAAACATGTCATCTCCTCCCCTATCTTCGTAATTTCTAAATTGAAGCAAGTCATCAGGATTTTTAACAATATTTATCTAATTTAAAATTTATATTCTATTACAAATTTAATTTTTAAAAATGCTTTTATATTAACTTTATAAAAAAATTAAATAATTATTTAATTATTACTTTTATTCTTAAATAAAATTGAAATAATTTTATATTTAGTTATTCTCATACTTTATATTCGAATATCAAATCTAATCAAAATCATTTATCTTGTGGTAGTAATATAAAGTATTTTTTGGATAGAATAATATAATATAATTTAAATATAAGTCGATGAAATAATTATAAAAACATGTTATAGGTATTAAATCTTGTTTGAATTTATTTTCTTATGAAAGATGGTAGCATGTGTTATTGTCTTATTAGTAAAAACTTATTAGATATCATCAAAATGTTGATGATGAATGAAATAATAATATGAAAATTAAAAAAAAAAATATATATATATATATATAATATTAATATCTTTATTATTTTTAAATAATAGATAATAAAAAATAGAATATTAAATATGTTTCTATAAAAATAGATGTGTGAATAAAGTATAAAGAAAATAATAGATTATTGATTGAATTGATAGTTTAGCCTTAATTTATTTTCGTGAGTTTAAACAAACATTGAAAAGGAAAACAAAGTGGGGGTGTGGTGGTCTTTTCCATATAGGAGTAAGATGCAAAGTCAAAATTCGAGAGACGGGTGATGGCTAGGAAAGTGTCGAGAGTCGAAACAGTTTTGGTGAAACGCAAATTGCTCGTCTTCATCAACCTTGTCTCTTTCCACCGGTAAATATAAAAAGGGAAAGGCTTCTTAATCCAACTTGTTCTTTTTTCTTCTCCTCTTGCCGCTGTTACGATTCAAGAGATCAACTGTTTCTGTAAGCACTGCACAACCTTGCTTATTTTCTTATTTTGACCGGATTTAGATTAATTTGAATTTTGTTTTTATTATTTTTCTTCTTCCGGGTGGCTTTTCTTTTAGTTGGTGTTTTAGCTGTTGATCATGGGTTTTCACTTGTTTTTCTTTTTTCGTGGGAATTATCTTTCGGTTATTCCAGCAGTTAGTTACGGTTTAATTGATCCTCTTTTGGTATGTATATAAAGAATAGATAGATTCGATGGTTTGTTTGTTTCCTTTTCATGGAAACCTTGTCCCTGTTGTATATTATGTTGGCTAATTAATTTCTGGTTAGGGCTTAGGAAACAGTAGAGCTTTGAGCAACTATAATTATATTAAGTCTAACTGATGATTTTTATTGTGACTTTCAAGTCTTCTTCTTCTTCTTCTTCTTTTTTTTTTGTGTGCTTCTGGTGCATAATTGGGGCTGATACATTCACTAGTTTTCGTAAATTTTCATTAAGGTAGACACCTTGTACTTGTAGTTTTCTAGAGATTAGCTAGTTGACAAGGAGGAATAACTCTTCTAACATTTTTATTGATTTTAACTTGTCCATCTAGATCTCTTAGTTGTATACTTCCATATGAACCTGAAATCTTATAGCGTATATTTTGAATGTTTTTAAGGTCATACACTTATTCTTCTGAAAGAACTTTAATTCCCTTTGGGAAATTAATTTGCTTATCATTTGGACTCAAGTTTTCTCATATCAGCTTCTCCGGAATGTTGCCCTTTGTTTTAAAGCCTGCTGAATAAGTTGGTGACCAAAGCACTGACTCCTTCTGCTTTCTTACATAAATCCAGGACTTGGAAGCTTGTTCTATCTTCTTAAGTTTTTGTTGTACTTTATGACTCGGCTGCCATTTTGGTTTTATCAGTAATAAGTTTGTAAATAATCCTACAGTGAATGTAACTTTATGGATGACGGTTTTGGGAATATCAAGGTGATCTCAGATCATTTTCAAGTCTCAACTCCTCCCAGGGGAGATTCTCTCCAAAACAGAAGTTCACCTGATTCACAACCAAGTACTGGAAATTCTTCAAGGTATTACTTTCTGAAGGTCAAAAAAAGAATAAGTATTTCTAGTTCATCTTATCTCAATATCTTTTGGTTCTGCTTTAGGATAGGTCCCGTAGCAGTTTATGGTCTCGTCAAAGATTTAGAAAGGCTGCATTCATGTTGAATCTATTTAGTTTACAAGGCTTGCCATGGATTGGTGCTGATGGTCAGGAAAAGGTTCGTATCCTATCCTCTTTGATTATTGCCATTTGGTTTTATTGATAGTCGGGCATTTCTTATTTCCAAACTTTTTATTTTCGGTTGCAGGTTCAGTTGACTGCTGCGGAGTTGGAATCACTAAGATCAGAACTTGCCAATATAGAAGAGAGAGAAGCTCACTTGAAAGCTCAGTAAGGAGTAGAATCTTGACTTTTGAACCATAAGCTATGTATGTGTGTTCATCGTAGTTTAATGCAGTGGCTGGACTATGTTTGACAATTTGAGCCTTTAATTAATAGAAATAATTATACTTGATTCTAGAATTTTGAATTACTGTTTCTGAAACTGGCAGTTACATGGAGTTTTTCTAGCAAAGAAATATCCCTGAGGCCTGAACCATTGGTGTTTCTGTGTTTACTTATGTTTTTTTCCTGATATGATATATCCACATTACCTAGCAGAATTGATGTAAGGAGTTTTAGACACAATATTTCTACATTTCTTTTATTGTTGTTTCTATTTTATGCAGGTTGGAACATATTGATGAAATTTTGCGGTCTGCACGTCTTTCTGGCTATTTGTACATCCGAACTGTATGAATACGCTCCCTTTCCTATTTTACGACATATTTTGTTTATGCTGCATCCTCTCTGTTCATGCACTTGTATTGTTCTCAGTAATGATTTTTCTATGAATCTTTTCATTCACAGAGGTGGACAGCTTTACCTGAAGAACCTGCTCCTGTTGACGATACTGATGTTGATGACTGGCTTCCTAGATTCATTGTTCTTCATGGCCAATGTATGTTCTTCTATTTATTCTCCACAGGCAATTAGCCTCTGGTGTAGTCTCCTTTATTCTTCTTTTACTATTACAAATTGCATCCAGATTCAGTGATGCATGATGATGCAAGGTTGGCTTAACATGGAAAATGACATAAAAAATTCTGTCAGGAGTAGCTGAAATTTCAAATTCAAGATGTTCAAGTTTTTTATTGTTCTCAGCTTTAATGGACACATCATTCGGTTTCAAATAATGTCTTTCAAGATTCTCCTAGCTCAACTTGGTCAATCATGGCCATACAATAGACTGGTCGAATATAAACACGGCACAGGCTGTGGGCTATAAAAACTACTTTCTGATCAACTTTTCACTTTGCAGATTTGAGCCCTCAAGATTCCACACTTCTGTCTGATGTTGTTGAAGTAGGTTCTCTGCCAAGCTTTATAAGAGAAGACGAAGGGACACAATACACCTTTTATATCTTAACACGTCAAGGGTTGCATTACGAGTGTTCACATGTTTCTAAAGTACAGGTATACCTTGTTTTTTCATACATAATATGCGTACATAAAAAAAGTACAATGTTTATTCCCACACAATACAACTTCAATAGAACCCCTAGGAGCAAAGTTGAACTCTAGACAACCTACAATTGAACAATATATATTCATATAATTGTTTTTTAAAATTTAAAAAAAAAAAACTTTGATTCTTTTCTCTCTTTTTCCTAGGTGGACACTTGGTTATCAGCTTTGCAGACAGACTGCAATATAGGTTCTGATGTAAAAGTCCCAAGTGCAACGTAATACCATTTACGGGTTCTCTTGGTAACAGTAACCGATTCTCCGAATAGATGAAGTGAATGGAAAATATCACTATCGGACAAAAGTGTATGTATTTGATAGTTGATACTCATCCCAAGTCCATGTAACATGGATCAAAAGTATAATATTGAACACAGCTTAGATTGAATTAATGGGACTGGGATGCCACTAACAGTTCTTTTGTTGATGTACATATGATTAGAATTAGCTCCCGTCTTGTATGATCTCTTAGAGTTTGATTCCTGTTTCTCTTGTAATAAACTGGCTTTGCATGCTAATGAAGCTGTTGGATGTTCAAAACTATTCCGAACAGACAACTTTTTAAAGCCTCTCCAAAATTCTTTTCTTGTGTGTGAGAATTATTTTTAAACAGATATTACCTTGTCTCAAATTAATTAAAAAAAATATTATCACAGGTAAACTAGCCACATATCACTGAACTTTAAGATTTATATTAATTTTATTATTTAACTTAAAATTGATTCAATCATAAATTTAAACTTTGGTTTTGTCTTTAATTTAAACACCGGTGGATAAAATTCAAATGATATAATTACATTAACAGATTTTTTCGTCACTAAATGTGAGTGTATTGACCCACATGGATCACCCATCTTTTAAAATAAAATATTGAACCTTCGTCTCTTGCCATTAGTATCATCGTTTTGGTGATTTTCTATGACAGTCAATGACATCGTTTATCAAAGCAACTTTGTTTTGATCTAAATAATAACTTTTTTCTTTTTCTTTATTTTCTCCTCTTCCTCCCATTTTCTCTCTGTATGTTGTAGTGTATGCATAAAATATGGAGGACATTGTGGTATTCTCCTCTTTTAAGAGTTTTTGAATATTATGAAATGAAACATGATACATAGTGATTCCTTCAAAGAAGTTTGCCCAGAAACATTATGACGACTCCAAGGAAAGACCCTACTTCAACGCCCTGTGCGAATTCCTCAGCTCTGGCCCTCTTTTTGCTATGGTAAGGAGACACTAGACAGACATCTTATCTTATTATCGTATTTGATTTAAGCCGGGATAGGCTAACCCCATTCAGGAAGTGATCAAATATGGTCGGAAACTCATCGGAGCAACTGATCCTCAGGAACAACCAGAGGTGATGTAGCACTAGCAGTGGTTGTCGGAAGGTAGAAGCATCCGTTTTTAATGTAGATTACCTTTTGCATTTGCTAACTTCGCCACGGAATCTTAGATTCATATCTTCTGCTGTGCAGAAATGTAATTCGTGGGAGTGATGGTCCTGAGACTGCCAAGAATGAAATCAACTTGTGGTTCAAGCCACAAGAATTGGTTAGCCATACAAGCAACGCAGAGAAATGGGTCTATGGAGCCAACTAATGAGGCATCCATTAATCAGTAATTGAGGGGGGGGGGGGGGGAAATGGCAATCCCTTGTTTTTGTTGTCGAACCCAAAAAAGAAGCAATAATCGCTTTTAGCCTCTTTAATGTAGAATGGAATACTGCAATTTTAGAATAATTGAATCAAGTTAAGCTTAATCTTTATTTAATCGGAATAAGTGGATATACTAATGCTTCTTTAGGGTTTGTGCCGCTCTGTGTACATTGGATCATTTTTTCTTTAACTTTGTTTAATTGGCGCCGGCTCCGGGTTTTTTATATTGACCGTGGATCATCGGTTTTCTTTTATAATTTTTTAATAAAATAATTCTGTTTTATGACGTATTTTTTGTTTTCTTATTCGGTCGTTTGGTCATTTTTTTTATTTTATGTTTTCTCAGGATTGGATTTGACGATATCACAACTGATCAAGATGACATTTATTTGTAAATTGTAATCCTGTTGATCTTCCCTATTTTGAATTTTTGAATTGAATTTAGATATGCGATTTTATGTTTGTTGATAGTTTCTCATGACGCTCGGTTCTAATTTACCATTCTCGATAGTTTTTCAATAACTTAATCATCTTTTATGGTTCGTTTGTTGATACAATCTGATTTGTTCATATATATTTTTTGTTCAAATCTTTTGGTTTGGTTTTTAATCTTTTCCGTGTTTGCTCCTTATATGATCTAAGTGGTTAGTTTATTGTGTCAAAATTATACGAAAATGTTCAAATTATGTGTTTAATTTACGATGATAGTTGTAAACTCTTATTGTAATTTTCGATATTTTTACTTTTAAATAAGACTATCAACTTCTATTCAAAAGAAAATACTGCAATTTTTTAAGTTAATTATTTCTTCTCAGGCCCTGTACAAAGCAGGCATGACTCTTCATACCAATGAGAAGAGGGTTGTAAATTCACAAAGAGAAGCAACCCGATCAAACAATACATGGCCGAACCCTAAAGTTGATGGATCAAATTAGGTATTAAACAATTTTTTTCACATTTCAGGTCTTGTAACTCCTGTACAATAGTAAACAAGTGGGTGAATACAATGTTCGTGACCAAAATGTAACTTTTCAAATATTAGTGGTGAATATGAAAAATAAAGTTCAACGAAGAATGACCAGTGGGGGAGGGCGTTTTGGCAACTTTTAGTCCTTATGCAGTTGAGAGATGCTTCCTTCATGTCACTTGTGCTACAGTGCGAATGAGCGCTTGGTCAAGTGTTAATGTTGTTTATAGGCAATGAAATCCATAATGCTAGTTGTGGGAAAAGTTACCAAATTATGAATCGGGAGTCTCTTTGGACGGTTTTAAAAACATTGTACACTGAATCCAAGAGACCCCGTAGAACACAATTTCATAGCAAATGCACGGATTTTATCGTTCATATATGAACAATTCAACTGTTGAATTTCATGTTCTATTCATTTAAATATTTTATGTTAAATTTTTAATAAATATATTACTTTTTTATCAACGTGATAAAGATGTTGGATTGATTCGAAAATCTACATGTATCATAAGCATAATTATATCGATGAATTCAACGGTTGGATTGCTAAAATCTCGATCATACTAAATCTTATTAAAGTACGTAAAATTAGTACCGTACAAAATGCATGTAGTAAGTTCAGAATTGCAGTTATGATATTTCTTTGCTGTGATAGACTGCTTTTTCAGCTTATAGCCGGTGGTCTTTGGTGGTTTCAGAACTCTCTTAAAGACTGAGTTATCCATTGTAATATGCTCTGCTCGTTTGATCATCTGTTAATGAGAAAATGATTGACCCCTTTGTTTTGAAGAAAGGAACTCGTCTCAATAGAAACACGGTTAGCGTTGTTATCATTTATGCCCTACTTCTGATCATTCTGTTTTAGATCATGTAAATAACCACTCAGAATCACACACACACGTATATAAAATGATGTTTTCAGATTTTAAGGTGTTAAGGAAACGATGGCTTAAATAAAGGAGCTCATGATCCAACAACATTGGGGGTGTATCATAGAGCGCTTGCTTCGCATGCGAGAGGCACGAGGTTCGATTCTCCGCACCTCCATTTAACAATCATCACATTAATCTGAAAGACTCGTAACATTTCTCTAATATTTTCAAAAGAACTCTGGTGTTTTTTCCCTATCTGTTGGAATTATTATCATTCTCTTGCGCATATTTTTTAGTCTTTGTAGACAACAAACTCAACTCATAAAAAGAATTCTTTTAATAACTCCAGTTAATCAAGATATAGCCACATCTGATGCTATGAAGCTGTATAGAGTGGTAGATCCAACTGGTATCTGTCTGCTTATCACTTCTGGTTACAGTGTAATCGGATTTTCGTGTAAGTATAGTATCATAGCCATTGTTAATTGTATTAGGTGAAAGGATTTGGTGTATTAATCAAGCTTGACTTGATGGACAAGGGAACAAATGCTATAGATGTAAGCTTTCTTCCCTATTAATATGCATTAATAGTTTGTTCACAATTTGACTGTTTTGGTATCTGCTGCAATGTATAAAACCTCTACACTGCTCTATTATTTCTTGATGTTGGGATATTCATATGTTTTGTTAATCAACTTGTATTTTATTGCTTTTATATATCAGGCTCAGTTATACACCATCCTGGGGTTATGCCGAGCATTTGATCGGATCTTCAAGGAGCACTTGAATGGAGGGTACTATTTATAGCTCCTTTCTTTTGACCTCCATTATTGCACAACTGATTAATCATATAATACGATACAATCATACTACTTTATCATCCTCTAGGCGGTCAAGTGGAGACCGCATCTATGGAGTTTTTGACCACCAGCTGCCTGCTGCTCTAAGGAAGCTTCCATTTGACCGTCATTTGTCACTGCAAAACATAAAGAAAGTAGTCTTAGAGGCAGATGGGTACCAACTGCATTTAATCACGCTTGAGCAAGGCTGCCGACGTCTCATTGATGTTTTTAGTTACTTCAGACCCAGTGGAGGCTTCTGTTGATGCTTTAAGTTCCCTTTTTAAGGTGGCATTTTCTTTATAACTTGCTTTGTTCTCTGTTATTTTTTACTTCTTCTTGGAGAATAGAAGGGTTTTGTAGCCTTGTAGGCGTTTTCTTTACTGAGGGTTCATGCTATGCTGTTTTGTGGATTTAAAATAAAACCAAATATCTATTGCATTTTCATTCTTTAAAGGAATATTCTCTAGGAGGCACTTTGTTTTGAAAGAGCTTCATGGATGAAGTTGTGATACTTTAGGGATAGTGGAAGAACGTAATTTCATCTTTTGGACTTCAGCAGGAGTTGAATAGCTTTCCATGTAGCAGCTGCAAATGAAGCTTTGTAGAGGTTTCGTGAAGAGAGTAAAAAACACAATTTTGCGGAGGGTGGGCATGGAGTAATTTGATCACTTGTTAATAAGAAAATAATTGACCCCTTTACTTTGAAGAAAAGAACTCTTGTCTCAATAGAAATATGGTCAACAATCAGCATAGTTATCCTTTATGCCCTACTTCTGATAATGATGTTTTAGATATGTAAAGAATCCACTCTGAATCATATGATGATTCCAGATGTTAAGGTGTTAAGGAAAACGATATTTAACATTATCAAAATAAAGTTCTCACAACAAATCAAGCACTGGGGGGTGTAGCTCATATGGTAGTGTTAAAAGTCAGCACCGAAAACGGTGCATTAATGCACAATTCGGTGCAATGGTCAAAAGGAGCACACAATTGTTGAAATTGCTAAATGATATAAGCATAATTTAGTCATTGTAATTTAGGGTATTTACAAGTTAGTCCTTAAAGCTTCAACTATAAATACCCTAGCTCATTTAGCTTCAAAACCATCCCAAAGCATTCTAGCTTTCTTTCAATACTAGAGAGATTTTAGAGAGTTTCTTTAGAGTTGTTTTCTCATTTTTATCTAGAGAGAATTATCATTGTTTTCTCCTTGGTAGATCGAGAGAGGTTGTAATTCCTATTTTCTCATAGTGAAATTCTTCTACCGTTGCCCGTGGTTTTTACCCTAAATTTTTTAGGGGTTTTCCACGTAAATTTTGTGTCTCTTTTATCTTCATTTTTATTTTCTCAAATTATCAGTTGCGATTTTGCTCTATCCGATAACCGTCTTCCGCAATAATTGGTATCCGAGCTAGATTAGAGTGTGTAATATCTGCTTATTGTCTTTGTGGTTGCCACCAAAAGGTGGATCCTCCAAAATAAGAAAGTAAGAAGTTATTACCCATTCTTTGAAGGTTCCAGAGAACTATTCACGATAGTGAAATAGTGGGAGCTATCCGTAAACGAAGCAATGGCAATGAAATTTAATATTGAAAAGTTCAATGGGAGAAATTTCTCATTGTGGAAATTGAAGATGAAGGTCATCCTGAGGAAAGACGGTTGTCTAGCAGCTATCAGCGAAAGGCCAGTAGATTTCACAGACGACAACAAATGGATCGAAATTGACGGAAATGCTATGGCAAACTTTCATCTAGCATTAGCAGATGAAGTATTGTCAAGTATCGAGGAGAAGAAGACAGCTAAGGAGATATGGGATCATCTCACCAAACTGTACGAGGCCACATCGTTGCACAATAAAATTTTCCTTAAGAGAAAATTGTACACTCTCTGTATGCCATAATCTACTTCAGTGACGGAGCACTTAAATACACTGAACACTTTATTTTCTCAGCTTACATCCTTAAGCTGTAAAATAGGAGAACAAGAACGTGCTGAACTTCTACTTCAAAGTCTACCGGATTCATATGATCAACTCATCATCAACTTGACAAACAGTAATGTCACCAGTCTAGTCTTCGATGACGTTGCAGCTGCTGTTCTACAAGAAGAAAATCGGCGCAAGAACAAGGAAGACAGACAAGTAAATCTGCAACAAGCAGAAGCGTTGACAACGATGACAACGATGAGAGGGAGATCAACAGAACGTGGCCAAAACAGCAGTCACAAACATGGTAGATCGAAGTCAAGAAGCAAGAAGAATTTAAAGTGTTACAACTGTGGAAAGA